CTCCTTAACGAACGACCAAATAACTTATTTTGGTAAGAAGAGGGAGCAAGGCCTAACACGTAAAACAAAACAATTAGCCCATCGGGCCATTACAAATGACTATGGGCCTGAAATAAGTGAAGGCAAAGGGTCTCCAAAGAACACGGCAGCCACGGTCCAACTTAAATAAAACCCAGCCTAGCTAAAAGCTAGATGCACAGACCCAAAACTTGGAACAATGCTTAAAAACCTCTCGCATGTTTATTTATTTGGATTGAGGAAGTCGTGAATTGATAAGAGTGAGAATAGGAGAGAGAATGAATGGATACTGTCATGATGATCAATCTAATTTTTAGTTTTTCAGATATTAGATTACATATTATAATGTAAAACTCTTACGGCCCATTCGGTAACGTTTTCAAAAAATATTTTCTTAGAATATTTTCAGAGAATGAAAATAAGAAAACGAATTTGTATTTTCAGGAAATGAAAATGTGTCTGGTAGATTAATTAGAAAATATCTTCAGAAAACAAAAACAATGAAAACGTGTCTGGTAGTACAATTTAAAATAATAATATGTGAGTTATTCTTATGAAAACATTTCCCATGAGAATGAAAACAACTTTTTCTGTTTTCTATAAGTACACATGAACTTGTTTCATTTTATGAAAACATTCTCATTGTTTTCTATTTTTGGGCCACCGAATGTGTTTTTGCCTCATTTTTATTCTCTGAAAATAAAAATAACCCCTTAAAACTTTATCGAACGGGCCCTTATATTCTTTTGTTCTGTTTATGTTAGGAAAGGCATAAGAAATCCAGAATTGGAAAAATTCAAGGCATAGAAATTATCACAGAGATTTCATGGCGCGCACACACAAATACACGCAAACTACTATATATGTGAAAATGATTTTTGCTAGTATTGTTGCAAGGCTTTGGTCATGTATCTAGTGGATTAGCTGGTCAATATTAGGGCTTCAAGTTTCTTCTAGTGCAGGAGTGCTAGTATATACATGAATGAGACCAAAACCAAAATCAAATTCTGGGAGATCAAATACCGAAGTTCTTAAGTTTGGGTCAAAATGATTTTTTCGAGCTCGAACTCAGCTCGGCTTATTTGTGAACCAAACGAGCCAAATGCGAGTCGTACTCGAACTCCAACTATTGTATAGAACCAATTTACCGTCTTAACATGAGTAATTTTGGTATAGAATATTTCCGCATGTCCCATCTCGAAACATATAAAAAAATTTCCCTAGATAGAAAGTTGTGGCCTCCTTATGAGATGCGTGAAACCATGATGCATGCTGTCCTTTCTTCAAAAGGCTCCTCCACTAGATTCTACTCAATTATACCTTATGGCAACAACTTTTTCCCGACTCGATAACTTCACTGACTTTTATTTCACATCCCACTTTTAGAGTTTTCAAATTCCAAACTCTGTTTATATATACATTGAACTTTCATACTAATTAGTAATTAAAACTTGGGATAATAGTTGATTAATTGGTAATTAAACCATGCATCCTTTCCATGTTGCAGAAAAAAACATGCTAGCGGTAGCTCTTGTCTTGGGTCGTACATATTGGGACCAATATTTATAAATTGCAACGTATGAAAGTGTGGTCCAAGCTGCTTGCTAGCAACAATTGACATAAATTGGCAACAGAAATTGGCCACTTTGTTTGCTGCAAACCAGTTGGCTAACACCATAATGTTAGTGTAAAAACAAAGGAAAGGAAAGAAGGGCCAACAAATATGAGATTCAAGGACATGAAATAATAGATAATAGTACCATATGTGTCAAAGCATGATAGGGCTCTCTCCTTACATCATTGGACCATATAGGTAGGGTTTTCTTTTCACCTTTCACTTTCCAATAATACATTGTGGATGAAGGAATAGTCGCGCTCTCAAGAAAAGGACTGTATATAGACAAACACTTCACACATACTTCACATGGAAAAAAGGGACATTTTGGAAAAAGCAAAAGGAGAGAGAAAATTTTTAAAAGAAGCAAAAATGGACAAAAATGCCCTTATTTATTTTTAGATTTCCTAAGGAATCCAATACATTTGCATGTCCTTGATTTGAAAGTTGAGTGGTTTTTTTGTCTTTTTTGAAAAAGCTTTGGCTTTTTCCAAAAGTGAAAAAAAATTTATGTCTAAAACCTAAAAAACCTTAAACAAACCTAACTCCATATATTTATATGATTTACTGACTAACTGGCTTATTTGGTTTCAGGTTTCTAGCAAAATGACAGATATGTAAATCAATGAAAATTCTCCGATAAGGATATTGGTTACATATTTCTAATCTCGATTATTGTTGGATTGCATGTATGTATGTTACATATTAAATCTATCAATACATCTAATGAATGCAATCCGACAACTAAGATTAGAAATATGTAAAAAATCCTTAAACTTAAATACTTATTGAATCTCCCTGTAAATCAAATCCCATTTGTACAACAATATTGGGTTGTTCAACCAATATTGGACAAGTGTTAATTCCCTTTGCTCCATGATTGGATTAGACACAAAACCTATCCTAAAAACGAATTAGATAGTGCAATAGCCACCATGTGAATATGTCTATGTGAATTAAAGTTACAGTAAAAGAGTTGGTGCCTGTTGTTGTGTTGTTGTAGCTGTACACATCATGTACATGATGATGTGGTTTTGTTGGAGGAAATGAGCTTAGCTTTGGCTTTTGTAGGCTTCTAGCTACCATTCACTGTTATCCTTGTGGTGACAAGAGAACATTTGGAACTTGTGGTCCTCGCACATAAATCTCTTTCTTTTCCAAAACCCTTTCCTATATCAATGTTTTAGTCTTAGTCTTCTTCTTCTTTGACTCTTCCATCTCTCTTTCTCTCTCATTATTTCTTGCCTTCTCTCCTAATTTTCTCCAAAATGGAATCAAACAGAGCTCATGGGAAGAGGAGCTTGAACTACAAGATGGAGGAAGAGGAGGAGGAGGAGGATGAAGAAGAAGAGCAGGAGGAAGAGGAGGATGATGAAGATACTAACAGATCATCACTAGCGTACGGTGAGGATGAGAGGAGGAAAAGAGTGTTGATGGTGAATAGTGCAACTACTACTCCTAACAAGAGAGGATCTGGTGCAGGAGGGTCTATGGCAAGGCCATCTTGTCAAGCAGATGATTGCAATGCGGACTTGAGTGATGCAAAACAATACTATCGCCGCCATAAGGTCTGCGGTGTTCATGCCAAGGCTCCGGCGGTGCGTGTGGGTGGAGTTCAACAGCGCTTCTGCCAGCAATGTAGCAGGTCAGTCAATTAACAAACCCTAAACTTTACACTCATTAATTTCTTACCACATATCTTTTCTTGTAGAGCGAACTTCTTGCTTCATGCTCATAGAACAAAAGATATCTAGTGCTTAAGTGAAATTGCATTTTAATTGAACATTTAGAAAACCCATCAAACCATTTTTGCAAGTTTCATCGTATTGAGTTATTGCATTAATTGGTGCATGACTCATCGAGCAAAATAGATTAATCTCTTTTTTGATGGGTAAAATGTTCGGTAATTTTTTCCCTCATCTTGATAATTCATTTTTCGTACGTCCTTCTATATCTTACCCTAAAGTCTTTTCAAAACAAAAGGTGTGATAGTTGGGTTTTTCCAAAAGGATATATAGTTGGTGTGAGCTATAATAAATCACGCAATTAGTATGAAAACTTGTTGAATGGCGTTGAGAAGGGGGCACACCATGAACCCCATACTTACAATTTCATGTCATGTCTCACTAGCTCTAAGCCTTTTTCTTTTCTCTCTCCCTTTCTGCCTTACTTTCTTTTGTTTTTTCTGTTTTGATTTCTTGCCTTGGTTTCTGTCAATGTAGCTTATCTTTTTTGTACCATTCTTATACTTCATCGGTATATAGATCATATCATATAAAGGGTCCATCTAACTGCATAATTACTTATATACAGAATCATGTAGTTTAGTATGTGTGTGTGTGTGTATATATATATACATGCAGTACAGAGAAAATAGCTAAAGAAAAAGAGAAAAACAAGATGAAGGAGAGAAAACCATTTACCCCAAAAAAGAAAGAGAGAGAGGAAGAAGAAGAAGAAAAAGAAGTGGTTTAATTACCATATATTGTGACTCATAAATCCACTGAATTAATGGTGCGTTTACAGGTTCCATAGCCTACCAGAGTTTGATGATAATAAAAGGAGTTGTCGGAGGCGTTTAGCTGGACACAATGAGCGGCGTCGGAAAACCTCCTCTGAATATCATGGAGAATGAACAAAACCCCAGAGCAGGCATGGTTATTAAAAAGCGAGGATTGCTATATATCTCTCTCATATAAAATGCCTCTTTTCTACCTCTAGCCTAGCGTGCTCTCTCTCTTCTGTCAATCCTCAACCTTCATTATCCACCATTGAATTCTCTTTCTTAATTTTATGTACTTGAAAATTTGCATCTGAAATCCAACAATTATGCATATATAGCTAAGGTAGCTAGCACAACTCCCATCCTCTTGTGTTTCATATGTGTGGCTGTGATTGATCAGGACAGTTGCTGATCATTCTTGTTCATGCATTAGTTTACTTTTCATGAAATGCTCTCTCTCTCTCCATGTACGTACTCAAATATGTTTATCATGAATCAGTGCATCACTCCAACAACAACAAAAATGTGTGGATTGCGCTGGGTTTGGATATAAGTTTGTAAAGTGAAATGACTTTAAATGATAAACCACCGCTCATGTTCATCCATCCATTTTGTAACATGTGAATTTAGTAACACCACCAGTTTTCCTGAATGTTAAGAGTGCTCCTTACCCTTAATACAATGTTTGGTCGGAGAGGCTAAGTAGACATAGACTTGGAACGAACATTTTACTTCACTGTGTAGAGAAATTTTTTAAAGCTGATCAAATTTACCATATCGAGTGAGCCAAGTTCAGACCCTCTGTCTTTCTCCTTTCATTTAATGAAAAATGAATACAAAAAAAGAAAACAAAACAGAGAAGCATACCTATCGAGCTAAGTTCATACCCTCTTCTATTTCATTTATTGTTAGTTTGAAAGAAATTACAAATAATTTGAAATCCGGCAGTAATTTTCCACCATCAGTAAAATTGGGCACTCTTCATATGGTGCTTATGTTACGACCAAGCGCAACTAAACTAAACATAAGAGCAATACAAAAAAAGGCTCTAACAAAAACTCTCCAATCTCTAATATTTTCTTGTGGAAACATATAGTAACCTCCCTAGAGTTCGTCCAAGTGAACAATTTTATTTGGCTGGATTTAACAGGAGTTGACAAATAGGTTAGAAGCATTTGGTATCCTTAGTCACGTTTGATGCCTAATAGCTTTACAGCTACCTCCCAGGCGACAATTGCCGTTGCATTAGCAGGAAAAGCCCGAACGATAGTAGGACCCAAGCCAACATAGCATCCTTTCAATCCAGCCCTTCTGTAAATCTAGAGAGAGAGAGAGAGAGAGAGAGAGAGAGAGAATAAAAACGGCCCATTCAGTCTTTTTTAAATACTGGATTTGGGGAGGGCGGAGGAGAGAGAGGGAAAGGTGTTCTTACCGAGCTCAAGACTTGAAATGGGTTTCTTGAAGAACTATTATCTGGAGCAGTCTGAATTATGGTTTTTGCCACATCCAAGGGTAGAACAGCAGACCAAAACTGGAAGAACGTTAAGAAGAAAATCACAATTTAGAAGTCTAGTGTCTAGTGTAATGGTAATGCGAACATGCATATTAGAGAAGGCCAAATAGTGGAGATACCGCTATACCACCAAGGCCACCACTAGCAATCCCAACTCCCACATCAATCAAGTTTCTGTGGTCAGGTGAAGCAGATTTCAGATGTAAATGCATGTGATAGCGGACATGCTCATAAATGCTAAAGAAGACTGCATTTCCAATAGATTCTCTTAACAAAGTTGTAAAACCTCCTCGAAAAATTCCTCTAACCTGAAAATCTTTCCATCAGCTAAAAAGATCATCACAAATTATATGTTTGCCAGAAGGCACGGTATTTTCTTCCCTTTTTCAGTCATGAAAGAACAGTATTTTCTCACCCCATCATTTTTTACAGTTTTAAGGGCACAATCGAGAGAACTGTCGTATCTTCTGGACATTGGGACCAAAGAGTCTGTGCCTTGAACTTGCATCCTACACTGGAAAAGCTCAGTGTAATAAGCATACCACGAGAAAATACTGCACAATATAAAACCCCTTGAGCTCCTCTTACCTTCACCAGCTCCGACGGGCATAATATAAAACTGATGATTGCTCCACTATAAGCTGCAGATGGAATTATGACTTGGAGCTGTGGCCCTGCACCTTGTGCGCTTCCCTAGAAGTGTCATTATGGTTAAGAAGAATGTTACATTACAACCATATAACAGATAAACAATTTCTCTACAGAAATCATGCATCTAACAGAAGCGATTATAAAGTTCATTGCCAAATAAAAGCAGCAAAGTTTACATTTCATTTTCATTCAAACCTGCAGCGACTGTTTCATTTGTGAATACATGCCAAAAAGAAGTGAACTCTCGAAAGCCATCCCCACAAAAGATGATGTTGCACCTCTGTAAAGTCCTTTAATCTGTCAAGGACCCAATATCAGTCAGCTTTCCTGGAAAATATGATGAGAAAATTCAATTTCTATAACATCGTTCCTTTTTCAAAAGAAAAAAGGTGATTGTAATGCAAGAGATATCTAGCTAGAGAAAGTGCAGGATCATACCCCTTCAGTCTTTAGTATCCTCGCAGTACAATGAAAACTATTCCTGTACGTAATCCCATGTGCTACAGTATTGTGTTTTTGCATCTTCACCTAATTAAACAAGTATTACATACATAAGAAATTCGCATTCGGAGAAAAGCACAATTTTACACACAAGAAAAATGGTCCGCCCATTCTCAGTTCATAGAAAAATCTCAAAGGCAAACAGCATCCTGAAATCATCAACTATAATGTGACAACGATACAGAAGTGACTGAAAGATTACAGCCTGGTAGTGGGAAAAGTTACAAAACGTTAAGCTAATGCATATCTAACTAAGGAAAATTAAGCTTGCTTTCTGTAACATTACTAACTTTGTAAAATCAAACTGATCCAATGTTGTTCAGCCAAAATTTAAACTACCCAGACGCCAAAAACTAAAATTTGGCGTTAGTTCATACATTCTACTTCCAAGTCCTATCAATCACACTTAAAAAAAAAAAGAGGTTTTTAAAACATACCCATGAAAATAAAGTTCACAATTAAACCACTGAAAGTTCAACAAATTGAAATTAATATGAATTTACCTTGATGGTGTCAAAGGGATGGCCAATGGCAACAGTGGCAACGCCGGCGAGCAAGCCTGCCACGTACTCCTTGTAACCGGAACTATCCGCCATCTGCCTCTCCCTCTCTCTCTCTTCTCTCTCTCGTTTTGTTATTTCTGCTTTCTGGGCTTTTATCATGGTGTCCTTATACGTACTTCGTCTCCCTCACTCTCTGAGATTTTAGTGAAACATCTAAGACGGTTAGACCAGAGCAGAGAGGCGGCGAAAAGCGAGTCTTCAGGTCAGGACCGCCCCGTACAAATTCTTATTGGGTTCTTGCGGCTTGCATTTGTAGTTAGGAAGGGTCTCAAATCTGATTTACCATCCCCCTCCTTATGTCTTTTAGCTTGGTAAGTGCGACGTGAGTCACTGAGGCCCACTCTCAAAATATTGCCTTGTCCAGTCCAGGAATTGCTCTGGTTTTTTTTTTTAAAATTATTTTTTATAACGAACAAAATTAAAAAACTTTAAGCCACGCTCCCGCGCATGCGGATAGACTAGTATATATCAATGTTATATTCAGATTGTATGAGTAACTGGCAAAAAGTAAAAACAATCAGGTCTTTTTCATTTTTTGTTCTAAAAATTGAAAGGTTTTCATTTCTTTGGAAACCTGCAGCAAATTAATGTCACATATGCGATATACAACAGTAGAAGACAATGTTGTCCGGAACGAAGGAACATTATTGGGCATTGCACACGGCTTTCCTATGAAGTTGCAAACTTCTTCTGCCCATGGAATTTTGGCCCAGTCTCTGAAGTCAGTGAAGCAGCAGAGTAACACTATGAAACCTGATTCCGGTTTTTCTTTAGCTGATGCCTTACAAGTAAATTGCTGGATGCTCATAAGTCATAACTTGCTAGGAACAGCATCGTTAGAAAGTCTTCCTGCCTTGCCAAGTTGAGTTGGCTTTGTAAACGCATCTTGTCTTTCAGCTATAAATTTTGCAAAACGGGAACCTTTCCCTTCTTTGTTGTTCTCTTGTCGTAGTGACACTGGCATATGAGGCAAAGGAGGGGGCTTGGGAGACAGAGGTGGCATCAATGCCCATACGGAAGAAATATATTTGTTTGGTTGGTCAAGAACTTGGAGAAGTGAAATATCCTGCATGTCTGTCGGAAGAAAAACCAGAGTTGTCAGATCTCCCCATTGCTTACCCTTTTGTTACTCCCCTTTTTCGATAATCAGGAAAAACATGTCAAACTAAACCACACATCTTGATACCGTATACCAACACCAAAAACAAAACAAGTTCAAGCACCTACAATGACTTTGAACCATCAAAACAAGTGAAATAAAAAGTTAACAGAATGTATGAATAAATAACCTTTTGCGAACTTGAAGATGGGGAGGAGGGCCGCACATGGAATGCTGAAATTCAGATGCGGTATAACAGTTCCTCCACCATGCCTTGCATTGCTGTTTCAAAAAATATATCTCATTAAACGTGGAAGTTCTATCAGCAAAGAGTGAGGGACATAAATAAAATGAACACATCTAAGATTTGAAGTGATGATGCTGATGACACAGAAAGCAGCCTTAACAACAATGTAACAGAGAATGATATGATTTCCACCAAATTATCCTTATTTTAGTGCTTTATTTGATTTCAATAGCATCGCAGCCAACATCATGGTAGAAATCACAAAATTTAGAGTCTTCATATCATGGCCATGCGTAATGCAAGAATACAATCAACCCACAAAAATTTAGTTTCTTCATACCTTGTGACAAGTCCAATCATATGACCATCTGAATTAATGACAGCGCCACCACTACCACCAGGATGGACAGCAGCTGTTGTTTCAAGCATCACAGGAAAATGTCCTTGAGTATTTCCTGGTTGGTCGGGCTGACATGAGAGTGGAAACTTTGCTTTCACAACTTTTGCGACCACACCAGAACAAATTGATGGGGAGAAGCCTAATGGAATTAATCTCAATCAGGACATGAAACATAAGTGGACTGTCTAAATCAAGCAAACAAACAAGAAGCCAATTATTGGAAACACATTCCATAACAAAGATAAGCGCATGTGTACAATTAGTCCCCCTTAGTCATGTCATGGCACTAAGATTCAACATCCATTCTTTAGAACTATATCAGTACTAGTGCCAAGTAATGCAGCACAGGCGAAGAAGAAAAGTTCAAGGATCTGCATAACTGGGCATACATCTAATCAAATTGCAATGCACATAGATGCTAAGAATAGTAAAGTGTAAAAAAAATTACATCCAATAAATTGGACCACGTATGTCACTTACTTCTGTACAGTACATCTTTATTAAGATTGTACAAAATCTAACGAAAGATTTCTAACAGTACCATATCAGAACTCTTTAACACTTGATAATGTCAAAATTCAAGTCTGAAACAGAAACTTGCACTAGGCAGAAACTCTTGATAATTGTCCGCCAAAAGAGTTTAAAACTATATATGAGATGTTAAATGGCTTGGTAAATTATTTGATTAAATAACTACACCAACTGGACTAACAATGACAAGCATCATCAACAACAAAGATAGGTGTGACTTGTGAGATCTTCTGTCAAGGTGGCAAGTAGACAAAATCAAATGATACATTTCCAGGGGGAATCCAAATTCAAACAATCAAAAACAAGAGGATGAAAAGAAGCTATAAGCAAGTATATACCGCATCTTGGTCCAAATAGTCCATGTCCAACAACATATGCCTTTGATCCTACAGATGGCGATGAAAAATCCTTGGCAATTGGGGAAAGATGATCTGCAATGTGCTTGAGCTGCAACAGGGAAACATCCAAAGGTCCTTTACAAATATACACTACTTTAGCATCACACCAAGTCCAAGGGTCTGTATGATCCAGGCGGACACGTATGTTTCTATGACCTCTGTAAGAAGAACTCAATTTATGTCCTCCATATTCATCACCCACAAAGAGATCTGCATTATTGCGAATCCTTGGCAGAAAACCTTCACTCTTTTGTTTGCCATATAGTTCACTATGCCCTGGAGATACAGGTCCATCAGACAGTGCCTCAGAATTGGATCCATGCTTTCCATCACTTGCGGTTCTTTTACCAAATCTCCATGGTTCCAACAAGTGAGCATTTGTGAGTATGAGACCTTGCTTGTTAAGAAACACACCAGATGCCCATACTCCATCATCCATGGTTATAAGACAAACAGAACCAATTGCCTTGTCAATGTGTGATGGGGATGAGCAATTAGAATAAAGATGCTCCTGAATATGCGTTATGGGTCCATTTGAGTTGTGGCTGTCGGCTAAAAATGTCTTCACTACAGCATTTAAGTTTCTCTTGTCATAATAAATCTCTTTTTCTGCATAACGGGGCTCCTTCTGCAGCAAGTCACTGCAAGCAGTTGCAATGGCTTCCCATGAAATCACCAGCTGTTACCCAAGACTAGAATTTTGGATGACATGTTAAGAAAAATAAATTTCAGACTGTCACACAGGCAAATGCTCTCAAGTTACCTGAATCTCAGCCCCACTAGTCTTCTGCCTCAATGGTCTAATCAAAATACCAACAAGTTGTGCATGCTCATTCAAAACTGGACCACCTTCCCCTCCTGGTAGATTTAGAATTAATATGGAATCAGAGACCAATAGCATGAAAAGAACAATAGATACTATTTCAGGTTATGCTCGTACCGGGAAGACACCGTATGTCTGCCATCAGCAATGAACTATAAGATGAATTAGGAGGATAGCAGTTGGAAATGGATCCCACTGATATACTGAGGTAGGAAGCCAAAGAATTAAATCAGGCATCAATAGGATGAAACAATTAGACTTCAGATAAAACCAGAGCGAGAGTGAGAGATAGAGCATAGATAATATCAGACAGGACCAGAAACATAACATATTTTTATACAGAGAAGATAAAATACCTGTTAAAGAAGTGCACAGGTGAGAGGACACCAAAAGGAGAACCCACAGCCACAAGAAAGTCCCCCTTTTTAGTGGAGGATGATATGGTTATGTTTGGCACGTCCTGAACAGAAACAATTAATTATCACTCTCACAAATGGACTCATATTCAGTATCTTGAGTTATGAATCTTCGCCAAAACTGTATGCTAAACTAAATTTAAGAGCATAAATTCACCTTGGAAATTAAGGATACTCCAAGAATGGCAATTCTTGTAGTTGACTTGCCTGTAAGACTTGAATTCCCCAATTGTCTGACAGCCGAGTCCACCTGGTTATCCATGACAGATGATGTACTGTCACAGTCCAGATTAACAAAAAATCTCTTTCACATTACATGAAAAACATTAAAACGGATCTCTTTATCATGTTAGCTTCTGCAGCATTCTCCCAACCAACCAGATAAGGAAGAACTGCTCAATTCATCAGTGAGGGTTGTTATGGATTTCTCAATTAGTTGCTTTCCACGTCACATGACACAATTATCTCTACAAGAGATCTGCACAGGATGATAACTTTTGCATTAATTCCCAAAACAGAAACACCTCATACCTGGGTCTGAGGAGCATTACCATGTGAGGCTAAAGACCAACCGACCTCCCATCCATGATCTGGGGAGCTTAAAGAAGCTTCCATAACTGATTGGAGAGCAACAGCAGAAGCAGGAACGTCAATCTATAAGGTACATTAGTTTGATCCATATCAGAAGCCATGTATGGTTTAGAATGAGTATCAAGCATACAGTAAATACAAGCAAATATGAGAAATGAAAGATATATCATTCACTTTATTTATTAAATCAGTGACCAACCATTAAAATTGACTTTGAGATTGCAGTCTCGTCTTATTTCATATAATAATCAAGCTATTGACACGTTTTTAAGAACATAATTCAGGTCAATTTTATTTTTCCACTACCAGTTAATACTTCATTTCCCTTTGATAGGTGACTGCATGACGGTCATGAATATGTTTATAACATTAGATAAAATAAAATAAATTACTTTCATTTTTTTACACAAATGAACCAAAAGTGCTAATGATCACATGAACGGTTGTCAACTAGGCACAAAAGAAATAAATGGTTGAAATCCTCCGACAGAGAGCTGCTATTGTTGCAAGCTCCTCCTACATCAATTCTACACTCAAATGCATAGTGTTAGTCAATTAAACAACTGGAAAAGCAAAATCCTACTAGCATTAACAGCTGTGCTGCAAACCAGCACGGAGGCCCTTTATCCAAATCTTCAGAATCTTTGTGGAACCTCATTTCATCCTGTCAAAGAAAACACCTCAAATAGTCAGAAGCTTATATCTAACCCCATAAAGTAACGTATACAAAAATCTTCAGTTAAAATTTGTCAATATGTATGAAATAATTAAATAAAATAAAAAATTTGGGTTTGTGCTATATTGCTATACCTCTGCCATTATATCAATCTGAACCCCAGGAATCAACTGAGGCCTGCCCTGCAAGGTACCAAAATAATTAATAAATATAAAAAAGCAAATCAAATGCATTGCATATCAACCCCAGTACAAAATTTAGCAAAAAAGGTAAATCATCGCATGCTAATTTCAACCTGGGTAAGGCCCTCTCTGTGTTGCAGAGAGAGAAAAGGCTCAACAATGGAGGCAACAGTCACAACCAGAGCAGGAGACCGTTCACTGTCGCCACCAAAGAGTTGCTGAGCAACATTAAAGTCGTAAAGGGTGTTCGGCAATAGCATTCCAGACGCTGATATAGTCGTCGTCCCAGAGCTACACATACGCAAATCAATACAAACAAATCAGAAAACAAAACAAAATGAAATTAGGAAATTATATAAATATATATAGGTTAATTATGAACAGAAACTTGGCTTACTGGTAGTGATGGAAAGCGTGGTTTCGCATTTTGAGGCCCTTTGGGTCCTATGTGGAGAAGGTTTGCATAATCAGATAGCAGAAGCTCAGAGAAAAATTAGAAGAGGGATAAAGACTAAAGAGAAACATACAGGGCCTTTGACTCGGACCATGACGGCTAAATTACGAGCGAAATCGACGATCTCCGGTAAACCCATAATAAGGAAGAGAAGATGGTGTTCTTGTTCTGAGTGCCCGATTCTGATTACAGAGTGGGGTTCACATAAATATATACCTTCAATGAAAACCAACAACAACAAAATAGAAAAAAAGGAAGACGAAAAGGTGACTCTCCCCTATTTTACCGCTCTAAAAATTTACTTACCCGCCCTATCAATAATATTATATTTCAGTTTCGTAACTTATTAAGTTATTTAGTTAGTGAAGACTATTTGGGCTATTTTGCTTTACACCAAAAATGTCCTTATTATTGGTTATAAGAAAGTCCTGTGTGGGTATTGAATTGTATTATTGATCATCTTATTGTAACCAATGCTTCGAAATTTACTTCTCTTTTTTTTTTTTTGGTTTGAACCACGAGGTGGTCCTGGATGGGCCCCAACTATGGGTGGCACCTTTAAGCCTTAACCACAACCCAGACTAATCCCCGCCCCCCCCGGGTCGGCCCGTAAGGGGTAAAGTGCTGGCCAATAAGGCTATGTCATGCACTCATGTTATTATTATTTTTCTTTGGCTTTTTAGTTGCCATAGTCCCTGAATTTATACCCAATTTACATTTTATTCCTCAAATTCGCAAAATGATTGTTGTAATCCATTAACTCCACTTTCATTAGTAGTGTTGGTCCTTTTGTCATAATTGTTAAATTTTCTCTTAAAATTAAGGGATTTTCAACCATTTTATCCCCCCGAACTATGACCATTGTAATTTAATCCCATTAACTAAAAAATCAGCCAATTTACCCTCTAGAATAATTTTTATCGCCAATTTCACACCTGTCGTTTGATGTTATGAGATTTCATCCAATATTCCGTCAAACCCAACCACATGAGACGCACGTGTGGCCTATTTGGAGGGTATTTTCATCCTAGTATTCATCATTCCTCCTTCCCCTCGATTTCCTCCTCAACCCTAATTCTGTGCTCTTCCCCTCAATTTCCTTCATTTCCAAAACCCCAATCTTACTCTCAAATTCCCTAACCCACTTCTCACTCTTATCTTTGGCCTTCTGCAGGCTCTTAAGGTCTTTCTCAAAGCCATCAATTTTTGCTCCTTTCCCAAAACACGCTTCAGCTTTGCAACTTCGTTATTCACCTCTCCCCTTCGACCATCGCTGAGATCAGGTCTTGTTGGAGCCTTGTTTTGTTTGATCTCAAACTTCATCTCCTAGAGTTTCTTCTTCGTCTCCTTCTCGCCACTCTTCAACAAAGGAGATGACCCACTTCACTTTGAAAGTGTGAGATAGGGTGAATGAGGTTTGGGAGGGAAGGGCTTAAAAGGACGAGATAACCCTCAAAATATCTCAAACGTGGTCAGGTTTAACTGGAGATTGGATGAAATCTCATAAAATCTAAAGGCATGTGCTAAATTGGCGATATAAAATATAAATTTGTCTAAGGGTAAATTGGTTGATTTTTTAAGTTTAGGGGGTTAAGTTCGATTGGGGTACAAGTTCAAGGAGTATTTCATCGATTTTCTCTAAATTTAAGGATACTATTGTCATTTCAAATACAACTCCCATCACCCACACCCGCCACCACTTCCACCACCACTGTGTACCCAAATTCACAATTTCCACCACCACGTGAATAAAGAACAAAGAACAAAACTCAGTCACCTTCTTTGAATTTTTTTTATTTACACTCCTCAAACATCCAAGTTCGCCCCACTAATTTTTTTTTCTTTCAAAACCTTAAAATCCAACTATATTCTTTTCATAAACAATTATTTCAACACAAACCTCCTCATACTCGACGACCCACCTCTCATGGCTTCTCTCTCTCCCTTCTTGCTCCTTCCCCACCCACCCATCTAATCTCCTCAATCTTAACCATACTAAATGGAAAATAAACTAAAAGCAAGAGGATAAACGTAAAAATACGATTTTGCCATTAAAAAAAACATATAAATATTGTTTTACCCCTAAATTTAATATAAAAAGTAACGCATGACCAACATTATGGGGACTACATCAATCATATTTTGCAAATTCGAGGATCAAAATGCAAATCGAATATAGGATCATGGACTATATGGCAATTAAAAAACCTTTTTGTTTTTAAAACTTTATTTATTATGTTTTCTGATGGAGTTAACACGATTTAGGTTATGTTATAAGTGAGAGAACATATGTCACAAATATTAGATGAAGGCACGAGGGAACACACAATTTGAAGACAGCAAATCTCAATCTATCTTACATTAGCATTTCTTGTAAAAACAACTTAGCACTCCAAAATACTTTCTGTTAATATATAAATCTTCATGCATGTTATTTAGGTTTACATTAGTATTATCAATTATGTGTCGATAACACATCGATTCCATATTGACAACACATGTTTTAGTAAGACAGCGTCGTATATATGTATATGTAATATAAAACCTGCGAAGCAAAAACAAAAGACTCTGTAGCATTATTCATTTCTTAAGAATCTGTAAAGCTTGTTGCTTAGAAGGGCATGCAATACTTACTATATTTGATTCTTTGACCATTTGACAAGTCAAGGAAAACACCCCAAAGATGGATGCAGAAAACACACTGACTGCCCGCCTCACACAAAAATGATCAAAAGGTAGAAAAAGGCACATACTCATCCTTTATCCTTTAAAATAGCTTGAAGATAAACTATACCTTTTTTTTCCTTCAGAAATATGGAACCCCAAACCTGATTATGTATAATCATTCTAATCAATACACAATATACTCTCTATATGTATATTTTGATGATTGTTTAAGAGACTATTAATTGTGGTTAAGCCAGTTATTTATATGAAATGTATGTTTTAGATAATTGATTAGTTATATTTTCCACATGCATGTATCATCGCTCCTAATTGACAAATAAGCATGTACAAACATCAGACGTGCGAATATAATTCGAAATTTACTTATTTAGATATTTTGACAGTTCATTTTGTAGATAAAAAGGACAACTTTTTACAAACAATGCTTACACAGATTAGTAGCTGGACAAATTTTAATATATTTACGGCGCGCTGCATTAAGTTAGTAAATTACAAACAAACAAGTCTCCCTCTCGTCATATATTCATTGCGTTCGGCACAATAGGCAAAGCTTAAGTATTAATTATCTATCCAAGGTTGAAACTTGGATAGTGAAAACTAAAAACTAAAATGTTCAGAAGTATTTCAAACCAAATTTAATACAATTAGTGGTAGACTTATTATTCGTTAGGGATAGTTTGGTAATAACGAATTAAACAAAAACAACTATTTAAAGGTAAAAAGTAAAAAGAAAAACACAAGGCCGTCCAGCAAGTGAATGGCAATGGAGAAAAAAGTACAGAAAATTCAGTTACCAATTAATCTATATGCTTCTTTTTACAGTGTGTTTTTTTTTTTTATTATCATGTTTTTAATTTTATTTTTTCTCAAGAAATCCAGGCATTTCCTGCCAGCAACCCAACGTAAACGCAGAAAGAGGAAAAAGCAAAACCAAAAAGGCAAAGCAAAATAGGACAGTAGATTTACCATAACACCCCTGCATCTTACACGTGTTGACCAAAAACCCAGCTTGAATTGTCCCCTGCACGCAGCAGCTGGGCATATTTTATTTATTGGCAATTTTATTGTTTTTTTTATATTATATAAATTGAAGAAATTTTGGTAAGACCACGAGCCTCTCAGAGCCTCTACCCCTCCGCCTCTCTCTCTCTGGTCAGCCACACTCCACCACCACCTTCATCGTTTTCTTTCTCTCTGTTCCTCAGAGAGCACCGCAATCAAGTAACAATTGCATACTCTTACATACAAGCCTTCCGTTCCGTGCTAAATTTTCGCTAGAAACCAGAGCAATGCCGGCACAGAAGCGCACCCCAGAGCCTATGGAAGATGATCCTCTGCAGAACCACCATGAAAACAGCCACGACCATCCACAAGACGAAGAGGGTACGTCTTATTTTGCTCAATACCCAAACCCAACTCCAAATTTTTCAACCCACCGCAAACAAAACCATACACGCATATTCGTTCCTGCACATGGTTTTGGAATTTTTTTTCTTTTCCCTTCTCTGATTCTGTTTTGTTTCTTCATGTGTTCCTTCTTGGTCCTTTTGCCCCTCAGAGTCCGATCGAAGCCTTTCCCCGAGTAACGAAGAGAAAGACGAGTGAGCTTTTCTGGTTCTTCATATCTTTCTCATTCTTCTATTTTTCTTTTTGTTTATTGGTATTGGTTCTGTTGATTGTGCAAGTGTTTGATTTTGAATGCTGGACTTGATTTGGGATCTGCATGGTTTGCTTCGTGCTACTCTTTGTTTGTGTTTTGTTAATCGAGCGGCTACTGGGATGAGCTATGTGGATTAACGTCTATGCCACTGTGAAAGCAATGACTTCTGGTTGATGGGGGTTTTCTCTTTTATTTTCCTGGTTTTGGTTGCTCTGCTAGTGCGGGGAAGAAGGTTGGTGAAGTTGGGTTTTGGATCTTCTGTGCTGTGGCTTTTGCTTTGCTGATTTCGGGCTTCAATTTCTATGCGTGCATGGGTGGTTCAAGCATGTTGCCCAATCTGGTGGATGGTCATTAGCTACAGCAACGCCTGCCCATGTGCTAAGCTGAATAAAACTTGCATAGAGATGCTGATCCAAATTTTCATATGGCTTTCGTCGATTGTTTTTGTGATTGTTGGGTCATTTTGAGCGAAAATTCTCACTCAAGTCTTGCTCGATAGTTTATTAGATGGAGGGATCATGGTGCTTCGTTGAAAGGGATAAATTTCGAATTTTCTGACCAATCCGCTTCATACAAACTCCTACTCAGCTTCTGAACTCTATAACTCTACTGGGCTCTCATTATTCTGCTAAACGCTTTCCACAAAGAAGTGTTTTGCATACAGGATATCTCTGGGATTGAAGCAGTCTCGGTTATGGCAGTGACATTCTTGTTGCACCATCTGCTATATTTTCAACGCCAAGCTTTGTTAGTTTACTGCCATATTTATAGAAGAAAGCGACTAACGTTTTTATTTTCATTTTTGGATATTTTAAATAGTGACAATAACGTCAATATGCATGATGAATTGGGCATTTGTATGCTTGCAAAATGCAAACCCACAATATGCAGCAGCTTATGGTTCAGTTACAATATGGATGCCCAGGATGGGACACTGATATGGAAAGTTCCATGTAATGAGAAGTTTAGGCTTAAGGGTGAAATCAGTATTTTGAAGACGTTTATAATTAGTTTTATGATATATGATCTTGGTTGGAGGTGGGGTAGGCTCTACTTAAGAAATTCTTACAGATACTCTTTCTGCATAGAATTATACTTGATAGTTTTCTCTTCTTTTGTGCTGGGTTCTGTATTTCCCATCCAAAAAAGTATAAGAATTTGTATTTTTTTTTTTCATTCTTCATATATCAGTGTGTGCCCAAAAAAAAAAAAAAAAAAGGTTGCACATACAGCAACCTGCATATCAAATATTACATCTGCTATATGCTAATTCTTATTTTTTTGTTGGTATTATGCACAGATGTATCATAGTGAAATTGGCAGAAATTCGGAAAGAAGTCCAATGCCCTATCTGTTTAGGTATGTTTTGGGATGCTAAATTATGGATAATAACTAAATATAGATTGGAAGGAAGCATTTTTATCTATTCTAGTTTTATTTGTTTGAAGAGATACTATTGTCGGGTTCCAGCAAAAAGTAAATCTCATTATCTTTTATCAAGGAAGATTGATAGTTTAATTCTAGAACATCATAGTCACTTGCATGCTAATGTTTTGTTGTATTGCAGCGTTGAGCTTAGTATATCTTGAAATGCCACTGTTTTAAGCGTTTTGTTGCATACAAGTCAGAAATAATGCGTTCTATCTGTCAAACACCACTTTTAGTTTTAGCTTAGAGGCCAATATATTGATTTGCAAAATTATGTGGTTACCACGAATTAGTAATTATATTTTTTCCCCCAAAATTGCAGTTGTTAGTTCTGCTTGCAATTGGTATGATTAAGTTATGGATTACATTCTTCAACTGAATTACTCTGTTTACATGCAGAGTCAACTTTTCATGATAAGAGCTCATAACCTGTTATTTACTAAATGAAAATACAGTCATCTCAGCTCAAGAAAGCATCAAAATCATCAAACTTCGAATTGATTTATCTCTTTTACGGGGCCATTCCTCCATTAACACAATTACATAAGTTTCTACATTAGGGTAAATTCATTGGAAGAAATAGAATTATATTAACAGGTCTTGAATATAAAGCCTTAAGAAATTTTATCTCCTTTTTTTTTTTTTTTTTTTTTTTCAGATACCTGCAATGAACATGAACTGCCTTATTGATGGGCCAATTCGCTTATTTTTTCTCTTGTTTATGTTACTGTTGTGTGCTTGCACAGGTGCCTGCAGTTGCTTGTTCTGTATATTTTCGTTACAAAACATTGCTTACCTTAAAACCATTGACAGCTTCATCTAGACACCATGTTCAGACGGTGTTTATTATGCATGCCTAAATTAAAGTTCAAAGGTTGAGAGTTTTCACATCCAAGAGTCCTTCATATTAGAATTTAACATAATATTTTGCTAAATATTGAGATAGTGAATCATACTATATAGATCCAAGTACTCATTGGTCCCTTTTACACTCATACAGTTTATGGGGATCTCACCCTCTGATAGTATACTTGTAGTAAATTGTGGGTGCAGTCTAGTCCTTTTAGGCGTCTTAACTCATTTCTGGAATCCATGCCCACATATTTTCCTATCCATTTTCATGCAATAAGTATAAACTCTTGTAACACACCTCTCCTCTCTCCCCAAACAAAGAAAAAGAAAAGAATAAATTCATTTACTCCCTTGTATCTATAGGGATCATTCGGAAAACAAGAACAGTGATGGAATGCCTGCATCGCTTCTGCAGGGAATGCATCGACAAGTCCATGCGCCTGGGGTATGTCTTCAGACGATTACCTTCTCCTTTTTTTATTCAAATGGAACATTCAAGTTAAATTTGCTTATATAGATTTTGTTTGGAGATGTCTCAAAATATTAGAAAGCTTGAACTTGTGACCTGATATGTCTATTTCATATTTAGACACGCAATCGGCCCAGTTGGAGTTCTGACTACTAGTAACTGGCTCTCACTGCAGGAACAATGAATGCCCTGCATGCCGCACCCATTGTGCTAGTCGTCGCTCTTTGAGAGATGACCCAAACTACGATGCCTTAATTGCAGCCATCTATCCAGATATTGACAAGTATGAGGAAGAGGTATGATGCTGATTTACAACAATCGTAGACTGTAAATTTTATTTTCTCAGTTACATTTTAAATTATTGCGCTGATTGTTGATTATCTCCTTTAGGAACTGGCTTTTCATGAAGAGGAGAAGGCTCGCAATAAGCAGGTGACATATTTCAATTTTCAAGTTTGTGTTAGGCATGCAAGTATTTTATTCAGGAACAGTAATTCTTTAAAAATTTAGTTAAGACTCGATTATATTTTTGTATGTGGATCTCATCTGTGTGCTATTACTGAAAGAATGCAACTTCCACATAAATTGTGATATGGCTTTTAATAAGAACTTATACTAGAATCTTTGCCCTTTCATCATTCAGGTGTTACACGTCACTATGAATTTAGTGGCAAAACTGTACAGATATTTCTTTTTGTTCCCAATTTGTTGCTCCCCCTTGATCTTTAAACTTATTTTCACAGATCCAAGCTTCCATTGCCCAGACATTTCGACGACAATCTGAGGCACTAGGAAGGAAACGAACAACAGCTAAAGCAACTGCAGCTGCATTTATGAGGAGATCACAGGGTAGCTATCGAAATGCTCATTTGAGGGGGAGAAGAAACTATAGAAATGTTGCTGAACATCAAGGTTCCGATGATAACGAGGATGCAAATGGTAATGATGGAGGTAAAGACTCAACTTCTGGTGACGAGCGCACAGAACCAAGACCAAAGAGATGCAAAAGATGGGGAGGAGGTCGATCAGGATCTGCTAATGCAGATGGTGGTGATGAAAATGATTATGAATTGAACAGAGAAATTATGGGTGCATCTGCGGGGCTTGTTGGCAGCTCAGAAAGGCTTGCCTGGGGTAAAGGTGGCATGCGGAGCCATACACGGTATGGCAGTACAAGTGGTGGCAATGGCAAAAATGCCAGGAACATCCGCCTCTCTAAGTTGGTGGAGTATCTTCGGAACTCAGAAAACCACGATGATGAGGTAAGTTGACGATCTGCTCATGACTCCCCTGTGATAGGGACTAAGTACCCTTTTGAGATTTCAAATTGGCAGAGATATTTGACTGTCTGAAATCCCATTATCCCATACTAATATTTCAACACACACTGCGGTCCTGGTTTCACATAAGGTTTATGAGATCATTTCATACACACACCATGTAATATGTGTAATTGGAATTTTATCTGGAACTCTGCTTCTATACTGAGATGGTTGAATCATCGATTTCTCATATTTTCAGTTGGACATCCACCTCCTGCTTGTTTCTTTTGATGAGCAAAGAATACCCAGTTTGCAGCGGCCCTATCTTTGCTGCAGGCCTACCCTGTCAGTTGGACAACTATGTCACGTAATTCTTCCACTCACTGCATTTTTCTTTTGATAGAACTTCATTATATTTCCAAAGCTTCTGTCACCATATACTGAAATTGGTTTTATTTGTGTACAGTATGTAGCTCTCCGAACTGCACTGCAAGCTGATGAAGTTGAATTGTACTTGGTGAAAGAGCTGCATGCCAAATTCAGTCATTCAACTGCCACAAATGTCCTAATTTCCAAGTCTGTTGTTTTAGACTCAACCAAAGATAACCTGCAACTATTAAGAGAACAAGAAACGTTGGCAGACCTTAGAACACACAATCTCATTCCTGGTCATCTGGTGAGAACCTTTTCTAGAGTTTAAACTAGTGAAAAGAGCTAGGGGGAACTTGCGTTAAAAAAACATTTTAGTTTTGATACTTAGATATATACACATTCCCAGATTGATCTCGTTGCATGTGTTGTTCTGCAGCTTTTGGCATATCAGAAGAAATGGAACTCAAGCTGATGATGATGACAAATTAGAACGAGTGGTTCAATTCAACTTCTTTCGTTCTTTTGTTCTTTTCACTAGAATATATAGTGACCGCTCTTAATAGTGTCAGGTAGGTTTCATATTTAGAGCTGCGTTCTCTGGCATATGCTGCATACAGCGAGCAATTTAGAAGCCGATGAAAATTATCATGTCATGTGTACGAGCTTGTTACAACTGTTACATGTATTTATAGAATATGAATTTCCCTTTCTGTCTGGAAAATAATCTCTTTAATCTTGTGGCCGTCGTGTTTGATTGGTTTTGAATTTCCTGATCACCTCCCTCCTCTCTTCTCCCCACCCCTCCTTCCTACATGAAGACGTGCATCCGTGTGCGGCCGGCTCCGGTTTGGGGACCTACTTTACTTGGTGCATATATATATACATATATATGTCGCAGGCCACTCATCTCTTCTCTCACCCCTCCAAAATATTTAACAGCACAGCACAGAACAGCACCCATATTCAGCTCGTCATTGACCTAACTCTAACTGTACACTAATTAAACAAGCACAAATGAAAACTCTCATTTCAAACCTGGGTTGTAGGGATCATGCTACACGTGGCAGTCACGTTACATTCACAGAACGGAATTATGTAGACGTTTTACAGTGAGTTTAAGCCTTCTTTGGTGGCCGGCTTGAATTGAATATTAGACAGACAGACTCCACCTAATTTTGTTTTTAATTATTATTATAGCTTAATTGGTTCCCTCTCCTTGGCTTGCACAAAAAATCAGATGAAATGGGTGAATCTCCATTCCAATGATTCCACTTGATTTTGATTTAGCCAATACTACGGTGATCACTTGAGTGAGCGAGTGAGATGGCCAAATATAATAACGCACAAGGAAGAGGCGTAAGACCCACTCAACACATTCATTATTGATTATGTCATTGTTTATGATGAAGAAGATAATGTTTTGTATCTTTCCAAGTGTGACCCCACTCACCAACTGCCACGCAGCCTCTCCCTTTCATCCTTTTCTTCTTTCTTATCCATTCACATGTAGGTCCTACCATACCCTGGGACATGGTCGTGGACCCCTCCTCCCAAATTCCAATGCGATTCTGATCTCGTTTTAGAATGTACTAATGTAAATAAACAAATAATCACAAGATAAACCCACACAAACTTAAATGGATCATTAGTAAATTAGCAGAAATATATTTTTATTTATTTGATGATAAAATTGGAAAGCAACTCACGGTTAGATCTGACTAAACAAAGAGTCATCCACCGTGCCAGTTTTACTTGAACAACGCTACACACACAATATACATACGTGATTAATAATGCTTAAAGACAGTGAGTGAGCGATTGAGCTCTCTCTCTCTCTCTCTCCCACTCTCTCTCTCACACAGAAAGTCAAACAAGGCCTTACATTACTTACAAAAATTAAAACGACACAACCTAATCACAGAACAATCCAGTCCAGTCCAAACCACCACCAAGGCACGTGACAAATGCAGAAATGAAAAAACGACACTATTTACAAGTAACCCCCGGTAGCTACTAGCTGGTGTTTGCTCTCATCAGTTGCTTGCTTGTCACCTTAGCGATGCTTGCTCCTGGTCTCCCCACTGTAGAGCCTGTGATATGATCACGTATATCAGATAATATATAAGATCTAATTGAGTACATAGATCTCTGATCAACAGATAGATCTATGATGAACGTACAGCTCGGATTGATTTGTGTAGAGATTAAGAAGTTACGTACCAATCATAGACAGTGGGAGAGTTGGGCTGTGGCTTGTCAAAGACCTGGTTGCCCATGGATCTGGTGGCAAGGTTGCTGCCTGGGTGGAAAACACTCCTCCAAACGTTGTCCTTAGCACGAGCTGAAGCTGGTGTTACTGGTGTTCCTGGGGTTACAGGTGTTCCTGGGCTCATAGGCATCGCCAACTTGCTGCTGCTGCTTGTCTCTCCCTCCACATCTACAACAAAATATATATATATATATATATCAAATTTGATCAAACCCAAAAAACCATATGATATATGGAAACTACAATTAAAAAAGAGACAAACTATATGTCACATATATATGTAGTACCTTTGATGTTCAAGGGTTTTGGGGTGACCTTCCTAAGCTTCCCAAGCCCGCGTTCAGGCTGAGGTCCAGCAACAATGTCATCCCAAAGCTTTTCAAGCAGAACCATTTTTCGCTCACTCTTTCTTTCTTTTCCTTCTCTATCTCTCTTTCTCTCTCTAATAGCTCATGGTCTAGAGGCTTCTATTCTATATATAATGCAACTAGAAACCTAAAAATATCTCATCTCTCAATAAAAATTTGCTAATTGGGGCTTTTTTTATTTTTTCTACCACCACGCAAGTGGCATTGATTTTTTAATGAGGGATTACAGTGGGCAGTGCAAAAGATGGGTACTAACGACAATTGTGGGTGAAATTGACCATAGGAAACCCGAGTGTGGAATAAGGAAGGATGAGAGAAGGATAAGAATGAAAGACTTGGTAAAACTGGGCCCCGCCAAATAATATCATCCATCCATCAAACACCTAATATCTTTTGAGTTTAGAGTTGGTTGTTCTGGCTTGGCTTCCCAGAGTGTACTCGTCTCACTATACGAATACTTGTCCTATTCATCAGAGCAATGTGGGGTCCACATTGATCAATGATCATGGGAGAAAGACAAGAATTTTGAGATGACACGTGTCCTGTAATTTGGTCTCACTTTCCGGGTTAAATGTCCACGCACTAGTTTTGGCTTTTAGGAGAATGTTTCAACGTGAATGTTACGTGGTGTTATTTAGTCCCTCACTCATATTACAATGATATTTTTTATCTATTGATACTGTACCATGATTCATGAAATATCGAACTCTCTCATCAGACAACATATAACCTAACACCACGACGCGACGGCTTGACTGTTACAACCAAATCTCAAGGGGGCTAGAATGAGGGGTCCTGAAGTTGGATTGAGCACCTCATTATATAAGCTTCCACCAATTTTTCTCTTTTTATTTTTATGTGATGGTAATCTGTTTTTTTTTATTTTTTTTATAAATATTATAAATAAATATATATAAAAATCTGACCTTATGATATGCAACAGAGCCCACATTTCGTGTTGGGCTACTTCAGAAAACTGAGCCGAAAAAAGTTACAAGAATTCGGTCCGCCGATTCACTACTAGAGAGACACATTTTTGCGCCCTGCATGCTAATCCAGCCCTAGTTTTCTGTACAGGTTGCCTTGCCCATTTAAGACCTTCTCTATGGGCCGACACCTGGCCTGGTAATAATAAGCTGGTGCACCAGTATAAGCCCACAGATTTCTTCAAATAACCAAATTTAAAATAAAAGAACAAAAAGCAATCATTTTATTTTTTTTCCTTTGAAGAAGAACTCAAGAAATTAAAATGAATAAATAAATAAACATAACACTAATTAACTAATTTAATTAACATGCCAATGCCATCCTCGATAACATCAGCTAACCAAAGCAAAGTTTTGTAAGCATGCATTAAAAAGATCAAAAGCATCAGAGACAAAAGTTCAATTTTTAAGGCTTTTTGGTGAACAAACACACAGCAGATTCAATGGTCGGCATTCGGCTAACACAACAACATTTAACCCAACCCAAGCCAACCCTATTATTTTACCTTTTTAACAGCAGGCAATTCCTTGGTATTATCCACGCCCCTACAAAAGATCACCTGCAAGCCTACAAGCTGCCTGCCTGCATATCTTCAAGCATTTTAAAATTTGCCGCAAAAAGTATCTCACACTTCCACATTTTACACATTTTTAATGAATCACAAATACATGTAATGAATATTCTGGATTGTTTCTTCATCATCTCGTTATTTCCAAGCTGCCTATATACCATCCAAAACAGTAGAAATGAGAACAATAAATCATAGCTACTAACATGGCAAAGGAAGCAGAGATGAAAAACAAACAAACAAGACAGAACAAATAGTTAAATCCACACCCAGCCCCCTTAACCAGAACTCTATATATATAACCCTGGAAGCTTGGAACCAGAATGCATCCTAGAAACAATGGCAGCCCTCCTGCAAAACAAGATTTCAATGGATGCTGCAGCTGATAGCTGTTCACTTAACTCTTTTTCGTTTTCTGGCCTCCTGTGTGTTCAGGATCAGCAATCCAAGTCCCTCCCTACTAACAGAGCCAATCAAATTCACAAACAAGGCACAGAGTTTGAGTTTGGTCACACTACACCACAGTCCATTGTGACCGATCCCATCAAGCATTACCCAGCAGACCTGTTAATCTCAAATGGTCAGATCATACCAAAAGCAATTGTACTTCAATCAACACAGCATGTGCCAACTAACCAGCCCTGCATCAAAGATTCAGTACGAGCAGCCCGTACCAGTAGCAAGAGATCAACTGACAACACCGGTGGCACAGAAACTGCTAAACCAAATCCAGAATTTGGAAACCAAGAGAAAAACGAAAACCCTGCGCCAAGTCTTCCCTTGCAAGGAATGCGGAGTGTCTAAGCCAACACAGAGAGGACACAGAATCCCAGAAGAAAATGGGAAGTTACATTGACATGAGGCTCCTTTTTCTTTTCAATTCTTTCTATTTCAGCTAAATCAAAAGTCCATTTCAATTAGCTGCGATGAACAATTTAGATTTGGAAGTGAGGCTTCAATATAACCTAGGTTGTTTCAGTTACCATCATTTAATAAAATCTAAGACATGAATCTTTACTCAAGTATGATCACTGAACGACTAGATGATTGATCACACAGTTGTTACACAACTGCATCTAGAGTCTCAACAGTCTGAGGTCACTTAAAAAGTCACTAATACAAGTCTGCATACAGCAGTTAATGCCATATACTGAGAAACCAGCCCCAACTTCTTTACAATCTGATAAATGCTTCCTCATATGACCCAACTCATTTTATAGAGAGTATACTTACGAGCTACCAGAACCACCTGAAATTAATAAAAAATGTTCTAAATTATCTGATATCTTACAGGAAATGTGGGATTTGTATATAGATTTCTAAGGTCCTACCTCCTCCCCTCTCTCCTCCCCCCCCCCCCCCCCCCCCCCCTTTTTTTCTTCTCTCTCTCTCACTCAATTCTGAATCTTGGCCATATCAGGGCTATTTGCTGAAACTTGTTAGGCCTTTGATGCCATAAAAAATTACTTTGATTTGGGTTGAGAAACCATACATCAAGTCAAATCTAACTCGTTCTTGAGATGGGAAAATGGCAAAGAATTACAACATGATTGATTTACAGTTTTCGCAAATTGCCCTGATTTAGTAGCAACTATAGTACCTCAACAGCAATCCCATGCATAAGTAGATTTCAGGGTTGAGGACTTTGAGGGGTTTTCAGGTGCAAAGTGTGGACATTCACACTTGAAAGTTTACCAGTGAAATTTTACTAGCGAGCTATCCTCATAGCCTCATAGGGACTTTAGTTACAGAAATTCTAACTTTTATAATTAATCCGTTTCTATCATTTCCACATTGATAAACTAGTTTCATGTACATAATATTTGCAGGAGCCTCAATTTCTTACGGATGTTCTATATTTTTAGATATGGAAATGAAAGGAGGAAAGTGAATAACTAGGTGCCCAAGATCTAAGTACTAGAATTTCCATAGTTTTAACACAGAAATCCTTATGTACTAAATCATAGCTACTTCAGTTTTGACTTGAATAACTGAAATGCCATCAGCTTATAAGCTAGACACCTGTAAAACCTATAATATTGCAATCAAAATCCAATCCTCTGTTGTTAAACAATTAATGAAACTTCCGAACATTTTAGATCAAACACCAAAATAAAATTCACAGCACAAGAATTAACGAGATGTCTTAGAAAAATTAGAATGTACCTCAACAATGAAACATATTATCCATAGAAGAATCTGAAAGCCACAATTACAGATCATGATGACCAGAAAAGAGGATGGAGGAACAGTAAAACTTCAAATTCCAATGCTAGCAATATTATAAGTCAACTTTGACTTCAGAAATTCAAAATAAACATCTTTTGATATCTACACTATCAGACCATACAGCTTATTTTTATTTTTCATTATCCTAATGAAAATCTGCCGCACCATGCCAAATTCTTTGTAGCCAGTAAAATAAGGTATATGCAAATTATACCCAAGATACTGCAGAAGTGATCAATTACATATCATATCCATCCTAACTCAGGGAAGACTGATATGGAAACTGTAATTTCAACTTCGTGGGTCCCATACAGGTATCCTTAGTTCCCAAACCAAAAGGATTCATTGTACCGTGTCACTCCACGGCACCTAAGAATTCAAGCAGTGAAAGAATTAAAGACTGACCGTAGATAGACTAAAACCCAGCATCTGGGAACTTGCTAAAATTTGGAAAGACCCTCAATCTGGGTTAATTCAAGCCATAAGGCAATTTTCCTTGCATAAAAATGAAACGAATTATGACCTTTTTTTTTTTTTTTTCTTTTTTCTATATACAGACTAAGACAAATTCTAGTCATGACACCTATTATCTCCAAATAGATGAACTGAGAGTAACAGAAATAATTTTTGAAGCAATACATCTTATAAGAAAATTAACAACTCTACAAAAACTCTGTTCTAATTATGTAAAAGAAAAGGGTTATCGAACAAACTGTCCATGACCTCCAATTAGTAAACTGTGTAGGAAATTCTGCAAAAGAACAATATCTGGGCCTAACATCTCAAGATTTGCCATATTTCTCAACATATCCCTGCAAATGAAAGACGTAGCAGTCAGATTCCAGGAACAATTTCACATTCAAAACCCAATACCTGCGTCCTCACATTATCACTAAAATGACATGATAAAAAGCTAACCTCAACAAGCTTTGAGATTTTTGGACGGCATGAAGACAGGTATTGCACAACTGTTTCTACGGTAGGTGGGATTTGTTGGGGCTGAAAAGCACTGAGAACCTTCTCTACTGCTTTCTTAACTATCTTGTTATGTGCATCTTTGCTGAGACAACCTTCACGCCATTTTGGTTTTAACAATTCTTTTACTAACTCTACAAGAGCCGCACGGAAATGCCTCAGAGCTTTTGATTCTTGCTGTACATCCCCATCTGTCACATGTTCACCATCCACTTCATTGTTTTCTCTAAATCTATCTACTGTTATGTCTTTTTTGTGTCTAGAACTGTCACTCTGAGGTCTAGAATCACCATATGAACTGGTTTTATGTGGTTTTGTACTACCTTTGGGATGAGAGGGCCGCGAGAGATTTTCTTCTATAGTCATGGTTCCATTTTGGCAGACAACAGAAGCCCCCACTGTCTCTGCTTCAGTTACAGGCGAATTATGTTCGCGTGTATAGCAGCTATTATCTAATACCTTTTCATGACATGTATTATGTGAAGACATAGAGTTTGTATCACCATCACAAACTGGACGCATAGTCCCACTAACAGATTCACCATGTATTTGATGATGCAACTTGTTCCCAATGGCAGCCTCTTCAGAATAGAAAGAAGCCTCAAAGGAGATGTTTGCTAACTTAGGTAACTCAATGCTGTCACGAAGAGGGTCATACTGGCTCCCTGAAGATGATAGAAATGCAGGAGGAAGAATAAAAGATGGCTGGAAGGGTACAGATGGCTCCCAATCATTTGAAGAAATTTTTGTTTGAAGTTTATCAGAGCGCAATGACACACTGGTAGAAGGCAACTTCTTCAATTCAGAACTAGAGAAGGGAGAAGAGCTTTTCAGTAAGGGAGATGATCTAGTAGAATAACGGTAATCTCTATTTCGGTCTAAAAGCTTTTGAGTACCATGAGGACTTGCATCTAAACAGGAATAGCTAGAAGGCAATGAAAATCCGGTCCAAGATGAAACACGGCTAGCTGGAAACGAGCCATTAGTTAAAAGATTACTTGAGTTTGAATTCAAGGAAAGGCTCACAAGTGGGGAGTTATGATCACTGTGCATGCGCTGGCTCCAAATTCCAGCTGGTTCCTCCATACAACTTGACTGAGAAGTCGGATTCCCTCTAGAGTACTTGCCTGATGACGCAGTAGATCCATTAGAAAAAAATCCAGGCTCAGGATGCAAACCACTCATAAATCTAGAATTATCTTTATGAATTGGTGAGTTGTTATAAACATCAATGGGCCAGTTACGTGCATGACCATCTCTTCCTGCATCCTTAAACAAGGAGAGAAAGACTTGATCATCTTTGGATGAATGCAATTTCTGTGCATCAGTGGACTCACCCATATTTGATTCCCCTCCTGGAACTGCTGGAAACTTATGGTTTTCAAGAGACTGATGCCGTCTCTGAATTCCTTTGTGTTCCGAAAATCGGATCTTTTCAGAAGGGAGATGTGAAGAAGCCAGAGGATCAGGAAAACCAGGTGACCTTGATCTCTCAGTTACGTCTCTTAGACCTGTCACAGTAGAAGGTTGTTAATAAGAACATCACAGGAGAGTACTTTCTTGACATTCAAACCCAAGAAGATACATTATACCTTCATCAGGCTGGACTTCTCTAGTACAATTTGCAGCAGCAACATCTCCTTGTGGATGAGTACTATTCGGACTGTCTTTTATATGGACAAACTTACATGAAGTACCTCTAATGCACCAACCTTTAGCAAAGAAGTCACAGATAATAGCTGGGCGTTTGTTTCGATCACTAGTCTCAGCAACAGGAGACATAATTCTGGTCACTTTCTCAGAAGCAGCTGATCTGAAAAACTTGACGGTTAGTGGGATTTGTACAAGTTTGATTGGAAAAAGTTAATAATTAGCTACCAGACAGGGAGTGGCCAACACTTTGGCCCTGTGACAAGTAAATTTCGAAAGTGCACTTGCTTTGGCTCTATAAAAATAAAATTTTAAAAGTATATAGGTCCGGCATATCACCTCACCTTGAATCCATTTGCTTTCTATCATTCCTCGGATGTATGTCCCCTTGTTTCATCTCATCCTCTGGATTCATGACACTCTTAACCTCCTTACCTAAGTGATCCCTCATCAGGATGGCATTAGCCATCTCTTCCCCAGCAACACCAGATGAGTTGGAGGCTTTAGCATCCATAACCTCACTATGACGCAAATATGCTTTTCCATCATCATGTGATTCATTTGAGTGTAAACCATGAAGTCCCTCGGGCTTATAATCTTGTCTAACATCTACACAAAACAAAAATAAAATCAAGTATTGCCGCCTTGACAGAGAGAAAGAAGGCTGATAGATATTCATAACAATCAAGTAAATCAAGTTGGCCTTTAGCTAAATTTGGGCAATAGTTTCAATGAGATTGGACCAATTCATCATTCTAGATTAGAGAGATAGGGTTTAACCAAATAACCGGTTGAAACTGAAAGGCTCAAAGTGAAATGCGCAAGACAAAACCTTACTTTACCAATTTTCACAAGTATTGGCGGCTCTTTCCAAACTCCTCAAAACAGTGGCCCGCATATCAGAGTTTCGAGTTTATAACAATTCTTCATAATCAAATTACATTACTTTATCTCACCTAAAGAATTTCCAATTGCTCTGAAAGCACTACATTAGCACGAATTGCTCCAATCAAGCCACAATGAACAGTATGAATCTAAATGCAAACCTAAAATTGAAGTGGAAACAGAGCAAACGTATGCATATGAGCAACAGCATCGAAATCCAAACAATCAAAGATGAAACAAAAAGAGTTTGGAAAACAAGTAGGTTAATCAAAGAGGTAAATAACCGTTATGATGATCACGAGCTTGAACCGGTGAATCAGAAATATCCATATCCACTTCAATCCTTTCTTCTTCCATTATCTCTTCCTGTTCTCCCTCCACCTCTTCTTCTTCTTCCTCCTCCTCCTCCTCCTCCTCCTCCTCCTCCTCCTCTTCTTCTTCTTCTACTATTTCGGGGTCTTCTTCTTCGTCGTCGTCATCTTCTTCTTCTTCAATTTCTGGGTCTTCTTCTTCTTCTTCTTCTTCTTCTTCTTCTTCAATATCGGCGGAGTCGGAGACTTCGCCTGGGGGCGGAGATTGGTCATCGTGAGGCATTCTGGGTGCGGCTTCTTAGGTTGGTACGGTACGCCTTCGTTGAGCTTTGTTGTGGGGACGCTAAGACTGAGCTTGCTTCACTGATCTCCGTTGGCCAGGCAAATGGGATACGTGTAGTGCTGTGATTATTCCCGGGTACATATTGATCGCTGCAGTGTGATACATATAATTCAAAAAATATGCATACATGTTAAATATGGTTTAAAACTTTATATGATCTCTGTTGAAATAACCTCCGACTCAAATATTAATCATTAGTAGTTTTGCATGACTCCGAATGATTGTCCAGTCGGACCATGACAATTAACCTTAACTCAAATTCGTGCTAATGAATCACAGAAGTTCTCAAGTAATTGTGAGACGTCACCAATAACTTATTTCCCAAGATTACAATGTCATCACCTCTTATTTTTCCACTGTAAATATATCAGAAATAAGGGCGGGCCAAAAATCATAAAATCAGTGAACCGGGCTGAATCATAACAAACAAAAAAAAAACCGATTTTGACTAAAAAAAAGAGTCAACTCCAAAGAAAACAACACAAGTTAACCCACAATGCTTGGGGGGGAGGGGGAAGGAATATAAGATTTCTATATACAAATTTGCAAATAGGGATACTTGAATACCTAGGCCATCTCCACTTATAAGGCTAAATGTAGTCCATGGCTAAAAATTTAGTCCCCCAAAATATTAATTTTTTAAAGAATAATGCATTGCTAAATTTTTCCATCTCTAGGCATACATGACTATAGGATCCTTCATATTTTATTATTTTTGAAAAGGGAAGTGAGGAGTGCTTTAATGATTGGTTGTTGAAAAGCATATGGATGAGACCCATTATAAATTTGGCCTAGGCCAAAGCTAGTCTACATTTGGCCCGGTTGGAGGGCTAAATGGCCAAATTTGGCCCTCCAAATTTGGCCAAAATTTTATTTCACCCATGACTGGAGATTAGTTTTGCATTAATTTAGGGCTATATTTGGAATATAGCCCATGGCTAGAGATGGCCTTAGCATATTAACAATTAGCTACCCATCTAACCAACGAAGACACAATTGATTGATTGTAACAACTACACATACAATGAATTTTTTTTTTGAGAGGCAAATACAGTGTATTTTAGCAAAATGTAAAACAAAAAATTATATTCCTAATTCTCTTTAGCTTAATTTGGTATTTCTTTTTATTTTATTTTTTGTCTTACAATTTGGTCTTTATTGTTTCCTGAAGAAAAAAAAAAAAAAAAGTATTTATTGTGGACCAGGCCTTTCAACGTCGGACAATATTTATCTCCACTTGCCCAAAATGATATCCTAAGCAAGACCCAATACTAATACTAGGAGGAGTCAGCCTCGGAGGCCAATCAGCCACTGCATTTCTTTTCCAATAAATGTGATTTATTTTGCAGTTCATAATATGCTCAGTATATCAAGGACAGAGTTAGGATTTCAAAATAGATTGAGTTGGATTTATACATACGATATGTGACTTAGTAGATTCTGTCCGTGCAGCACAATAACTTGCAAGCACACTGTGTTGCACGAACAACGAATCCCAACATACAAATTAGGAGAATGAAAATGAGTCCACATGCATGTATAGTATACAAAAGAATTATCCTAATTGAAGCAATATGAATGCTCAAAGGTCCTACCTAACTACAAAATGATATCAAGTCGTCCCCAGAAAATGAAATTTCATTCTGGCATGTTAATGAACCTTAAACTGGTCCATGATCAATGGAGACAGCAAGACGTCTCTATCTCATCGGTTTAAGGATGACCTACACTAATAATGCCGCCATTCATATTTTATTTAGAGCATTATGTAATTTTGTTTATAAAAAAAACGAAAATGGAGTGGCACATAGGCTTGCGAAGTTGGTATTGCATAGTAGCTCACATGGATTATGGTTGAGTTGAATTCTGGTGATTAGTTGGCCTACTGCCTTAATCACAATAGCGTCTCCGAAGATTGCGCACCAAGTCATGCTTAGAGCACTTTCACCAGTTAGCCCCTTGCCATGGCAAGGGGAGCCCTAGGGCGGGTACTATTCACGTGAATAG